TTTATAAGTCAAACAAATTACCTTCCACAAGACAACAATCCTGACCAATTCACAGTGGTGTTCCTTCAACACAAACCTTTGTTTGTAAAATAAATATCAATACAACATGTTTGCTATCCAGATACATTCAGTAGACCGTGTTTCACGCCTCAATGGATTGGGACAGTACAGTTGCTGCGAACTCGTCAGTTATCCCGACCGATCCTCTATCTCTATTCCTCTCGAATGGAAGACAGAGAGACGCGACGACGATACGGAATTTAGCTAGTACTGTGACCTCGCTGTATGAAGATGGCATCCCTGTGTAATCTAATTTGAATAGCTATTTGCATGCAGTATCTAATGGCATCTTTGATGTAAAATAGTATAATTTATTTCGAATTTAACACTGGTACTGAATCGTGTATTATTAAGTTTGGTTTGTTTTAAATTATAATAATTATATCAGCTTTCAACTGTCCACTGCTGGACAAGCCTCGCCATGGAAAGATTTTGCTAGTAGTTGCTCTTATTAGTAGTTATTTTAGGGTATTAATAATGACAAACAAGCTGACGATCCGTCAGATAGAAAATGATAATTGTCTCTTATAACCAGAGGGAGACTTTGTACAAAAGTCGATTGCTTAGGTACCTCTGTCCCATTCGTGTTTCTACCGTGAAGCAGTTGTGTTTGCATGGCTGTGTTTCGGTTTGAAGGGTGGGATATAGCGTGAATTTATCGAGTACAGAGGAATAACACCTGAGTCCTCAGTAATGGCATCGCATGGGGGGTATCATTGGCGAAACACTATACTCTGTTATGTCCATGGTACTGCTCATGTTTATAGGCGACGGTTACCACATTCCATAAGGTGGGCCGTCAGTTTGTTAAAAAAAAAACATAAATAGTACCATCATCATCATATTAATCTTTAAGTGGTCAATGTTGAACATAATTCTTCCCCTTGAGAGGTTTCACCAATACTTCACATCTGGCAGGTGAATTGACAACCGCAGTTAGGCTTTGGAGATGTTTTAAGAGGGACGCTGCTGCCCATCCCTCGCCCTTCATAATCGCCTCTTACGACACCCACAGGAAAGAAGGGGTGACGACATATAATTCTATGCCGGAACCACACAGCGAATTTATAATATCAGGCTTTTATTTAACTTCGCATATAACTTGGTATCTTAAGTTGAATCTTGCGTATAACTTTTGAAACGACTCTCATTATCTGAAGGGTCTGAAGTTTAAAATACATTATATAAATCAGTTGATAACGTTATAGTCATCGTGTTAGAATCCCACTGGTGGGAATAGGTCTCTCGTTGTAAAATGAGACTAAAAGCCTTCTATCATTGCGCCAATCAGGCAGCCTAGTATATTTCATTTCGAGCGTACCGTCACTTTTAATTCAAATTTATTCATATCATTTTCATTAAATATTTAAAAATTCTTTTGTTATTTCACGACTATAATCTCTTAAGGGTAGTCAGATGCATTTCTGTTTATTCAATGTGTTTTGTGTGTTGAAAAATTTTTCAGAAGTTTGAAATAAATAAAACACAACGATGCACTAAAAGCTACCTATGACTTTTTCATATATATATATATATATATGTATATATATATATATATATATATATATATATATATATATATATATATATATATATATATATATATATATATATATATATATATATATATATATATATATATATATATATATATATATATATATATATATATATATATATATATATATATATATATATATATTTTTCACCATATAATTAGGTACATTTCTAATTTGGCAAAGGATGACTGAGTGAAGATGTATCATTAAGTTTCTATATAGCATTAAGACTGCATTTTTTTGTCATACAATCAATAAAGTATATAAATAAATAAATATTCTAATATTAGCTGTTGCCTAAATATTTTTTTTTGTTTCTTAATTCTGCTATTTCTTCTTTGATATATTCGTTTATATATTATAAACTAGAGAACTTATAGTAATTATGAAAACCATACTTTTATATATTATTATTATACTTTTATATATTTTTATATATCTATTATTATGGCATGAATTTACTGGGTACAGAGGAATAACACTTGAGTCCTCAGGAATATAAAACATGCGAAACAGTATACTCTGTTATGTCCATGGCACTGTTCATGTCTATAGGCGACGGTTACCACTTTCCACCAGGTGGACCGTCAGCTTGTTTGTTTGTTGTATAAAACAAATTGCATTTTTTTTAAGAACCATTGTATTAAAAAAAATAGGTAACCAGTATTTCCAATAAGCTTATACGTAGATATTTGGTTTATACCATTATCACTTAGCCAATTGTATCACGGAGAGGGTTAACTAAATCAGAACAGTAGTACGGGAGGCACTGAAAGCTTTGTTACCGAGTTCATAGCTCACTCTCGCAGCGTCAAATATGATTAGATGCCGCCATTGTTTTCTGACGATATCTATCCGACCTCCAGCTTTTCAATATTCAACTATAGCGCACTGCAATTGTGGTACAATATTCCGTATGCATAACACACAAAATTTCCACCCCACAATGTTATACAAGCTTAAATATCAAGTGCGTATGTCTGTGTTGCCATTAGCAATATTTATAATATCATGTTGGAAAGCAAAGTCAGTGAAGCAAGGCGATTATATGGGGTATGCGCCTTCTGTAGGCTTATAGAAATAATAATGTTTCCACAGTCAAATATTATGAATTCGTTTTCAAAATCAAAACAAATTGACGTCGTGTGTTTCTTATTATTGTTTCTTGGTGTTGTCAATTGTACTCAATTTTATTTTCAACGAACTTGTAAAAGAAAGACTTGGAAAATTCTGTTTTTATCTGTCAGGATATACTTACGGGTTGGTCCCATAGAAATTTTATTAAAATCGGTTCAAGTTTTTAAATAAAAAAAAAAGAATTGATGTCGTTTTTTTTTTTTTGGAACACACGATTTTAATTACATTATATAAAACTTAAAATAACAAACAAGTTGGTGGCCCACCTGATGGAAAATTATAACCGTTGCCTATAGACATGAACAGGTCCAGAGATGTCAGAGAATACTATATGATATCCATGATACTTCTCACATTATCAAGACCTATGTGGTATTTTTTCTTAACGGATGATAATGGAATGGTAACCCCACCTGCGGTATTGATACACAATGGCGGGACACCTGTAAGGAATAACAGCAAAAGATGAAGCAGGCCAGTTGACTATCATGACGAATTAATCAAGATGGTTCCTAATGGACACCATGTGGAGGTCGACCTGATACGGTATATTGCTAACAATGAGGTTGCTATTCCCCATTAATAACAATAATTTCCGCTTTAAGTGGTTTATCCCCCCTGGAGACCATCGTGCTGAATTCCAGGTATATTTATCACGACGGGCTAACTGACCTGCCTCTTCGTTCTTACCTGTCATCTCTCACTGGCGTGATTACCATTCCATTATCATCCATCAAAAACGAAAACAATCTCCACCTATCTCTGCGATTTCACAATAACAAAAAAAAAAAACTGTCAGTACAAAACACATACCTTCGCAAAACGGGCAATAAACAGCCGAAAATTGTGGCACGAAAACGAAAACTTTCGACTTTCGGCGGCAACAAATTATTACTCAAGTGTTTGCCGAGAAATTAAAGTAATCAGCAAACTTGAACGCGATTCGGCAAAAGTAATTTTCCAAAAGTGAAGATTTGATTTAATACAACAGTTTTTGTTTGTTCAGTGTTCGCAACATTTGATATTCGCTTTTTGTTGTAACCAGCCCCATAACTAGCAATATACCTTGTCAAGTCGTGGTCCCTATTGGAAATCATCGTGGTAAATCTTTGTTGAATTTATCGTAATGGGACAACTGACCTGCATTCATTCTCACCTATCAATCCCTTCCCCCCACCAAACATAAGTATTTATGGGGAAAGGTACTGTTAGAAATGCGGACTATCAGTTCCATTGCTAGCTACTCTATCAGGACGACCTCTACGTGGTCCCGCCTGGAAACCCACCTTATTGATATCTAGGTATATTGATTGTGATGGACCAACAACAACCAACATTTATTCTCACCTATCATCTTTCACTGGTGCCCCGTCAACATATTCCGATAGCGCAAGCTGGGTTACCATTCCATTATCACCCATTAGGAAAAAAAAACAACGATTGTATTGTATTTTATTGTAAAAACTTTATCGTACATAATTCATATTGAATACATTAACATCACGATATAAGTGATAACACATTTAGTGTTCAGATCGTAACTGGTATTGTCACAATTGAAGTCGGTTTTTTAATGCCATTTGAGGTGACAAACAAGCATACGGCCCACTTGATGGTAAGCGGTTACCGTAGCCTATGAACACCTGCAATACCAGAGGTGATACGCGCGCGTACAGCCAGCCCTTTAAAAAGAAATATGCTCTTTTCTTGAAGGTTATGATGTCGTATCCGTTCTGAGACACTGCTATTGGGAGTTGATTCCAAAGAGTGGTTGTATGTGAAGAATAAAGTGCCTTGAAAAACGCACGGTAAAGATGTGTTGGAACACATCAACAAATCACAATTATGGAACATAATCTTTAATTGTTAATTTACATAGCATAATAAAGCATAATATTGTCGGTTCTTCGAGCTATCTGACCAGCCCATTACCAGTTCAGCTTGCAAGGATAAGCAAGCTGAACCGATGGGGAAGAAAGGTCCTTGAATGGCGACCGCGTACGGGCAAACTCAGTGTAGGATGACCCCCAACTAGATGGAGTGACGACCTGAAATGTATTGCAGAGAGTCAGTAGATGCAGGTGACTCAGTACCGCTCTTTATGGCGGTCTATGGGGGAGGCTTATGTCCAGCAGTGGACGGTTAATGGCTGAAATGATGGTGATGATGATGTCATAATATGTGAATGTAATATTATTTTGATTAAACTTGATGATATTCAATGAATTTCTCTCTTTGTTACAGACAACTGCTAGCGCCGAATTTGAAGCAAACACAGTATTTAGCAAATGGTGCTGAAAGCGATATAAGAACGGTAAGTGATTATAAATATTATAATTTAATAGCTACGTACTTGGTGATTTATGTATTTATTAATTTAATATGTACTCTGTAATAATAATTATTTATTTGCTCGAAAAGTGGTACAAATGGTCTTAAATAATAATGAACTACACATTTCGTTTTATCTATATGCAAGAATTTTTTTTATTTCAGCACATGCTAATTAATTTTTAGGGGCTTACGTATATTAATAGCCTAGTAGGAGTCGATCTATAAATATTGGCAGTCGCACACATACCAATGGTAGAACTAAACAAATACAAATACATAACAAGTTCAAATGTATAATTATTTTTGTATGTATCGTATGTGATTTATGTATTTATATTTTTATACTTATATTACAAAAATATAAATAAATAAATTAATAATATATATATTCTGTATGTTTGTATATTTATTTATCTTAAATTGTTGTTATCTCCCAAAATATTTATTTTATTTACATTTTTTTTTAAATCTATGCACCGTCAATTACTCTGCTTAGCGTAACGGTTGACTGATAGAGAATGCCATCAAGCATTCAGTCCGCCTTTTAGTCATATTTTAATGTGTGCAAAAGTATAAAAAATAAATAAATGAAATACTTTTATAAATAACTAAATATAAAAATTATAGAAATATAAAAATTCAATGTCGTATTGGTTCGGAAATACTGCTGCTGGAAGTCAATTTCGAAGCGTGGAAGAAAAATATATGTCCTATTTATAAAAAGAAATATATTTAAACATATCTATCAGTTGTCTAGTAGATGCCCAATCAATCAAGTCTTCTGGCCTTCCTGATAGAAGTGATAGGGGATAGAGGAGACCTCGGGGCGAACGTCTTTACCCCAACATCAATTCCGGGAGTAACTACCTCCCGGGCCAAAACTCTACCGTTATTAGGGTCAGACGTAGCCTTCTATCTTCTTATTCTTGATATAGTATTGGTAGTGATAGTTGAAGTGTCGGCTGCTCTCTTCGAATATATGTATATGTATGTATATTGTAAGAAATCTCTTTTATGGGATAAGTCCGCCGTTGTGTATTAAGTCTTTTAATGTGTCCAATACAAATTATGAACAATAAAGGTTTTACAATATATGTATATGTAAATAAAGTAATCCGGGCTATTGCTTTTTTTTTAAGTATAATAAATATATATATATTTTTTTTAGATTATCATAGTACAAACTGTGCTTAGTTTGGGTCTAAACGACGCTGTTTATTATATTTATTTCTCCGTTAAATTTATTTATTTATTCATTAGTACAAATATGTGGCGGACTTAATGCTAAAAGCATTCTCTCCAAGTCAACCATAGGGAAGTGTCAGAATACTCGAATACGCGAATGCGAAACTACTAATAATTGATATACATACATAATAAATATATATGAATAACAAATATACTTACACATATATGATATATACTATATAATACACGAAATTGAGAATTATATAAAGCACTTTATATTATATTTATTTATACAATTGACTCTTACAACGGGCACAAAATTACCCTATTTTCAGAAATCGACCGTCGTACGCGCGGTACATACAATAAATCCTATAATTATGGCCCAATGCAATAGTGTAATAAAATGTTTTATAATTTAATTTATAGTCCACTCGTAAATACTCGAAATGGTCTCTGAAGCTGATCCCAATTGTCGAATACTCTCGCTTCAATGAATTCAAAACATTCGAGGGAGACTTTGTACAAAAGTCGATTGCTTAGATACCACTGTCCCATTCATGTTTCAACCGTGAAGCAGCTGTGTTTGAATGGCTGGAATTTACTGGGTACAGAGGAATAATACCTGAGTCCTCAGGAATGGCAACGCATGGGGGGTATCATGGGCGAAACAGTATACTTTGTTATGTCCATGGTACTGCTCATGTCTATAGGCGACGGTTACCACTTTCCACCAGGTGGACTGTCAGCTTGTTTGCTATTCTAAGTAGCATAAAAAAAATCAAAGTAAAAAAAAAGTAAATATGAAATATTCAAAGTAATTTATTTATATATATATTTTTAATGGTAATTTTCGGTTTTTCGCTGTTATAGGCATGGATGGTTCGTGGATGCCGTGTGGTCCCGGCATTAAATAGGCTACCCCTCCCTTTCCCATAATTTAATGTTTAGTTGTAGTTAATGGTGGTTGGCATTTTGAGTTAGACCGTCACAAAAACAAACATGAAAACCGCATCCAATTTAGTTAGTTATACGGACAAAATTTAAAAAAAATATATATATATATATATATATATATATATATATATATATATATATATATATATATATATATATATATATATATATATATATATATATATATATATATATATTTTCTAATTAAGACCACTTATCTCAATGTCTCTTAATATTTTTCATTTACAAATATTATTTAGCTATAATTTTATTATTTTAGTAAGATAAGATTATATTAAGCTAAGCTATATGTGTAATTAATGTAGTTAAATGAAGTCATTGGTTAAATCAAGTTAGAGCATTACGTATTAAGAGATATTAGACATTTACTGGTAACATAATATAGAGATAATTCCCAAAATACCCAAACACAGAATTAATCTGCAATCTGAAATAATTTAAATTTTCGGACCCAACCGCTAAAATACTGAGCGCTCACAGCGCCACCTACGTGATTTATATTAAAACTTTTAATGGCCAGTAGGTAGTAGAAAACAAACAGTTGCACTTCCAAGATAAACTATCTCAGGAATGAATTGTTTCCTATGATAAACTTGTAAGAAACTGCACTCTTTATGCAATGTAATATTTACTTAGTAGCTTTTCTGAAAGCTGTTTTAATTTATATGCAGTTTTTGTAGAATATTTTATTCATTAACAATTATAAGAGAGAGATAAGAGATAGACATATACCATCGCGGACTTTTTTGTTGGCCTTTCTAAGGTGTACAATACTGTAGTACATTATTTTATTTATATATTTATATATTTATCTCGTGGATTTCAGCCAGCGTTTGCAATGTAAGCACAAAAAAAATGTATGACATCACATTAGAAACCTCTAAACTTATCAGTGTTTCCCTACTATATTATGCATGTATTATACATATAAAGCTTCCTCTTGAATCACTCTATCTACTAAAAGATACCGCTTCAAAATCTGTTGCGTAGTTTTAAAGATTTAAGCATACATAGGAACGGACAGACAGCGACAGCGACTTTGTTTTATACTATGCAGTGATAATTTTCTCAAAAAATGGCAGCTAAATAAAAAACAGAGTACTTACAAACAGAGCATAAGACGTTTACCTCGGACGCAAAATCTAATAAATGATGCAAAAGCCAAGAAATGAGACTCGTCTCTCATAATATCCAATTATTACTTTTCGGGGCCAAGCTAAAAACGTTCAAATAAAAGCAAATAACATTTTGAGAGCGTTCCGTATTTCTTTTAAATCCGGACTTAAATTTTAATAAAGTCGGCCCCCGATGTTTTTTGTCGACGCGTAACTGTGGACTTTAGATTTGTACGCCTGGTGAATTTAAACGGGTTCCCTGATAGATGGTAGGTAATGTTGATTAGAAAATAGTGATCGCAAGTTGTCACGGCCTATGACAAAATTTATTTATTTAATTTATTTACCAACTGAGGGAGCTTCCTTTCAGAATAGGCAGCAGCGTCCCTCTTAAAACATCTCCAAAGCCTAACTGCGGTTGCCAATCCACCCGCCATGTGTGCCAAGCGATTACCAATTTACATTAATTATATCATAATTTCGTTGCCAATTTTGTGAACGAATAAAGTAGATTTTCAAGCGTCATTTATCTTTCTCCAAAATTAATATTTCAATTTGATATCGCACCAATTTTTTTTTTTTCTAAAATCAATATGAACTAAATTTCTAATATATTTAAATTAAAATTATTATAAATTTAGTATGTGATGATTAATAAAACGGTACTTTAGGGAATTTATCAAAATTAAGTAAATAAATAAATTTATTTATTCAAATAACTTCATTGACCATAAGAAAATATGGTACAAATGGCGGACTTAATGCTAGTAGCATTCTCTGCCAGTCACCTATTTTATACCACGCTTTGGAATCAACTTCCAGCAGCAGTATTTCCGAACCGATACGACATCATAACCTTCAAGAAAAGAGCATATTCTTTTTTAAAAGGCAGGCAACACACCTGCAATGCCTCTGGTGTTGCGGGTGATCATGGGCGGCGGTAGTCACTTACCATCAGGTGAGCCGCTTGCTCGTTTGCCCCCTGTGTTGTAAAAAAATGTCAACCTTTGGTATGAACAGTGAATCACGAACGCGGTACTTCATTATTGAAACTTATTGTTTAAAAAAAAATACTATTTAGAAAAATGGTGCCTCAGAACCGACCCACTTGACCGACACCTTGAGTAACTACTTGTTTACACGGTTGTGACAATTAACACAGACTGATCCTGAGTAAAAATTCATTATAGTCGTAAAAATGCTCTCCCTCGTCACACAACGGTTTACGATCACGTTTGCCGTTCTCGAGACATGCAGTAACGTTTTAGTTACAATACAGTGCGGAGTTACCGACTTCTTCCGGTGACAACCCTAAGTACTGTCGCTGCGCAAAGCGCGCCATCAAACTTTAAAAGGATTTTTAACTCGCTCGTTGTAGAACGGAGCCTGTTATTTTAAGCCGTAACTCGTATTTGCTAAGTGCTAAGTTACAAACTCAAATAGGGGTGCGTTTAACGATTGCAAGAAACTTACAGTTTGCTATTTCAATTGCGATGCACTTTGTAGAATCGACGTCTGATCTAATCAGTTGTTCTAGTGCATGTAGTCCCGGTATAGAATAGGTCTTTTCTTTCCCGTTGGTATTGTAAGAAGTAACTAAGGGAGGACGAGAGATGGACAGCAGAGTCCCTCTTAAACCATCTGTAAAGCCTAACTGCGATTGCCAATTTACCTACCAAGCGTGGCAACTACTGACAAA